GCCTGAACTCTGGGCCTGGGCGCTGTCCCTCAGCTCTTCAGCTCAAGACTAGCACTCTACCACTTGAGCCACAGTGCCACTTCCAGCTTTTTTCTTTTTGCTTATGTGTTGCTGAGGAATCGAACCCAGGGCCTCAGGCATGCAAGGCAAGTGCTCTACCACTGAGCCACCTTCCCAGCCCCAAAATCTTTAAACTTCTATACAGTGAAAGAAAGTATAAACAAAGGTAAAGTGTAAACCAAAGTAAAAAGACTCACAAGGGGCCTGGGGCAGCATTTTCTGGAACAGGGTCTGCATGTTCCAGTTCAATGTGGTACTTAGTTTTCATGTGAGATAACAATTTAGGCTAGGGATCATCTATGCCATATTCTGCTTATTCAACTTTCTTTTCAATGTATATTAGCCACCCAAAAGTTCTGGGGATTGTGTGTGTGTGTGTGTGTGTGTGTGTGTGTGTGTATGTATGTGTCTGTCTGTCTGTCTGTTGGTACTGGGGCTTGGATTCAAAGCCTCACGCACTCATTTGGTTTATTTTGGTCAAGATTGATTCCTTACCACTTAAGCTACTCCTCCACTTCTGATCTTTTTTGCTGGTTAATTGGGAGTTAAGAGTCTCAAGGACTTTTGTTTTTGCTCAGGCTGGTTTTGAATCATGATCCTCAGATCTCAGCCTCCTGAGTAGCTAGGATTTATAAGATGTAAACCACTAGTGCCTGCCTCTTGAGGACGTTTTACAGAAACTTTTTTTTTCCTGTGTGGATCTCAGCATTCATCACAGTCATTTGACTGGGGACCAGTCTTTCCTTGGAACACTTGGGAACTTCTGGTGTATGAAGAACAGTTGGAAATGGTATTGTAAGCAATAACACTTTGCCCTGCGAGAAAATAGCTGTTATCCTCACCTTTTGAGTCACCATAGATAATTGTCTCTCCCCCAGAAGTTCTGACCAGCAGTAACAGCAGCAGCAGCATACAGAGATGAATAATACTCAACATAGTAGCTAATCTTTGCAATCATAGCTACCCTGGAAGCTGAGATGCATGCAGCCAGCCCAACCAGGAAAGTCTATGAGACTCTTATCTCTAATTAACCACCAAAAAAAAAAAAAAAAGCCAGATGTGGAGCTGTGACTCAATTGATAGAGCCACAAGCCTTGAGCAAAAAAGCTCAGGGACAGAACCTGGGTCCTGGGTTCAAGCCCCAGGCACCCTCCCCCCCAAAACAAAGTGAGGCAGGTTCTGTGGATGGGGAGGGGGGGTGCCGGGAGGGTGCCAAGCAGGAGAAGGCCAACTAAGGAAGAGAGTGTATGAGGATGAATAGAGTCCAAGAAGTTTGTGGGCATGGGCTGGGAATGTGGCTTACTGGTAGAGTGCTTGCCAAGCATACATGAACCTGGGTTCGATTCCCCAGGACCACATACACAGAAAAGACCAGAAGTGGTACAGTGGCTCAAGTAGTAAAGTTCTAGCCTTGATCAAAGAAGCTCAGGGACAGTGCCTAGGACCTGAGTTCAAGTCCCAGGACTGGGAAAAAGGAGGAAGAGGAGGAAGAAGAAGAAGAAATTTGACAACAGAAGCCCTGCTTGGGCAACAAAAATATGTTAATAAAATCAATAATTGAAAGCAGACTCCTGTCGTGCTTGTGGCTTATGCCTGGAATCCTGCTCAGGAGGTTGAGATATGAAGATCTCCACATGAGCCAGTCAGTGCTGGCACGGAAGTCTTAAGACTTTTTTTTAACCAGTCCTGAGGCTTGAACTCAGGACTTGAGTTCTATCCTTGACCTTCTTCTGCTCAAAGTTAGCACTGTACCAACTTGAGCCACAGTGCTATTTCTGGCTTTTTCTATCTAGGTGGTACTGGAGAATGAAACCCAGGGATTCATGTATGTTAGGCAAGCACTCTACTACGAAGCCACATTCCCAGCCAGTCTTAAGACTCATCCCCAGTTAGCTACCAAAATGGCTGGAAGTGGAGCTGTAGCTCAAGTGGTAAAGCACCCAGTCTTAAGCAAAAAAAGCTCAGGGAAGCTCCCAGACCTTGAAGTCAAGCCCAGGACTGGCAACAACAACAAAAATGAGGGCAAATCCCAAGGAGTTGTGATGGAGAAAATGGCAGTTGGGACTGACTAGAGGTGCTCTGCCACTTGAACCACAGCTCCAGTTCTGGTTTTCTCATGATTAATTAGAGGTAATTGTTCCCTGAACTTTTCTTGCCTGGGCTGGCTTTGAACTGAGGTTCTAAGATCTTAGCCTCCTGAGTGGCTAGGATTACAGGCACCACTTGGCTGGGTGTGACTTTTTGCCACTTGTGTGTGTGGGGGGAGAGGAACCAGCCTTTACAGTTTAGGATGACTGAATCAACACTGGCCATATTCTCTCTGGGCTGACATTAAGGCCTTTGTACTTTAGTGTGGGAAATAGGATTGAACAATGTATTTCAGCTATGGTTTGTAAAGCCCTTATTGATTCAGTCCTATGACCTAAGTGCCTGAGTTGTACCTCTATCTTTAGGGTAAGGAAAGGGAGGTACAGCTATATAACTTACCGACCAGGTAAGTTTAAAAGACTATCAAGGGCTGGGTGTTAGTGACTCACGTCTGTAATCCTAGCTACTCAGGAGGCTGAGATCTGAGGATAGCAGTTCAAAGCCAGTCTGGGAAGGAAAGTCCATGAGACTCTTATCTCCAATTAACTACCAGAAAACCAGACTCAGCGCTGTGGCTTAAGTGGTAGAGCACTTGCCTTGAGCTGACGAGCTGAGGAACAGTGTCCAGGCCCAGAGTTCAAGCTCCAGGACCGACCCCCCACCAACCAAAATAAAATAGCAAGGGATGGAGGGTGGGGTTTCACCCGAGAAGGTTAGCCATATAACCAGATTCTCTATAACCACTGCCATGCCCTATTTATTTTTGCCCAGGCTAGCCTTGAACCCTGATCCTTCTATTCTCAGTCTCAACTGGATTACAGGCTGGAGCCCCAGGTTCTTCTGCCTTATTTGTTAACTAGAGAAACCAACCCTAGGGATGAGGGTGTGGCTCAAGTGGTAGAGCTCCTGTCTAGCAAGCATGAGGTTCTGAGTTCAAACCTCAGCACCACCAAAAACAAAAACAATTTCTATTGGGCTGGGAAATGTATGTGGCTTAGTGGTAGAGTGTTTGCCTAGCATGCATGAAGCCCTGGGTTGGATTCCTCAGTACCACCTACACAGAAAAAGCCAGAAGTGGTACTGTGGCTCAAGTTGGTAGAGTGCTAGCTTGGAGCAAAAGAAGCTCAGGAACAGTGCCCAGGCTCTGAGTTCAAGCCCCAGGACTGACAAAAAAAAAAGCCAAAAAACAAAAAAGAAGAATGGTAGAAGAATAAAGTTGTTAGCATAGTCCAGTGAGATTGGGAGCTATGGTTTCCTAGAAAAGGTAAACTAAGGTAGGAAGGCAAGGGGGTAGCAGTCACGATGGAGTAGGGAGAGCAGTCAGAAGTTGGGGTTGGGGGAAGAGGGGTCAAGTCTAGATGTAGTCTTCAGGCACCTCCAATCAGCACAGGTTTCCAAATGGAAGGGAAGAGCCATTTCTTGGGAAGCTTTTTTGAGTTGTAGCTAGAGGGTGTACACACCTAGCAAGAGGCTAAACCTTGCTGTGAAACTGAAGACAGCAGAATGTCAAGGAGCAAGGAAAGAAAAGGAGAATTTCAGTGGATTTGTAGCTGCGCGCACGTGCGCGTGCACCAGTCCTGGGACTTGAACTCAGAGCCTGGGAACTGTCTTCTGAGTTGTTGTACTCAAGGCCGGCCCTCTACCTAGACTTGAGCCACACCTCCACCTTTGGCTTTTGGGTGCTTAATTGGAGATGAGAATCTCATAAGACTTTGAACCTCAAGCCTCAAATCTCACCCTCCTGAATAGGAGGATTACAGACGTGCGCCATGGGTGCCCAGCTTAGAGCTGCCATTTTATTTAGATTGTCTGAAGAATACACAGCTCCCGGAGACCTCCAGTCTGGGCATAGATGTTAGTTAGTGCACACGTTTTGGCTGGTGAAAGCATGCATACTTTAGGAACCAAGAACCTCTCTGCCCAACGTCGCAGGACTCCATGAATGCAACGCGTCCGCGTCCCAAGTTATCGGGACAGCGAGGGCGATGGGTCATTCGCAGTACGATGCGTTGGCCGTGGAGCTTTTGGATGCGCGAGTGTGCATCCTGCTCATTGGTTGCGCAAGGAGTCGAGAAGCTGGTACCTTGCCCAGGAAGAGCCGCCGGGCCGGACGCACCAGGTCCTCACCCGGGGTTCCCGCCCAGGCTCGGGCGTGAGCATCAGGTGGGACCCAAGGCAGAGGAACAGAAGAGGCTGAGCGCCCATCCCTGGGTGCGATCGGCCGCTGGCAGCGCGTCCACGCTCGGGCTTGGGGGGTGATGGGGGGGGTCCCAGGAATTTGCAGGCTCCCGTGGGTAGAGACAGCTTGGGGGTGGGGAGGGAAGAGTCCCCAGATCGCGCGCCTCGCTCCCTCCCCACTCTTCCCCTTTCCATTGCGAGGGGCCTGGGGCACCTCCCACCCCACCCCTGCTCGGATCCAGGCTTCGTGGAGCGAGCATCGGACCACCACCATCCACCCCCAGACACCGCGGCGCGTCGCCCCCCCCCGCCCCCGCCCCCGCCCCAGCTCGTGGACTACAAGTCCCAGCTTCCTTTGCGGCCGGCGCCTCCCGCCCGGCCACGGAGACCCCCCGGGCTGTCCCCGCGGCGGGGGCTCGGGCTGTGCTCGGAGCCGAGCCGGGCCGGGCTGGGGAGGCCGGTCCCGCGGGGTGGAGGCGGGGGGAGTTGGCTCCGCGGCTTCTACCCGCCGCCGCCAAAGAGGAGTTTCCAGGAAGTGGCCATATTGGATCCATTGAGCTGCAGCCGCTCGGGCGGAGCGCGTCCCGCAGCCGGCTGGTCCCGGTCACCGCCCCGGCGCTCGGCGCTCGCTGCAGCCCCGGCCCCCGCCAGCCGGCGCGGAGCTCACCATGGCGGCCACGGACTTGGAACGCGTCTCGGTGAGGGTCCTGGCCAGCAGGCTGAGGGTGGGGGGGGGGTAGGGGCGCGCGCGGCGGGGGGGAGGTTCTCTTGGAGAGGGGCGCGCGCGGGGTGCGTGCGGGGAGGAGGGGGGCTTCTTGGGGAGGGGCGCGCCGGGCGGGCTGTCAGTGTCACGATCTGGGCCTCGACACCAGGCCAGCTTGGGGCGGGGGGTGTAGATGTATATGGGGGGGAGGGACCCTGGAGTTAAGGGTGAGGGTGGGCGTCCCGGGGTGACGGGCAGGCGTCGGGGGCGCCTGGCTAGCAAACAAACCCCTTTCGCGGGGAGCAACGAAGACCCCGCCGGGCTCCGGGTAGGTGTGAATGTCGACAGACCCGGATCCCCGAGTCCAGAGTGTTTGTGATGCTGGTAATAACTGGGGGAGATCAGGGACCCTTCCGAACCCCCCTTCCCCTCCCCACATTTTCCAGTACTGTTCTTGGCACGGCTGGGGAGACCCCCCTCCCCATCTCCCCAGCCGCGCAGGTGCTGTTGTTGGAAAGACACACCACCGTGAGGATGAAACCCAAAGGGATCGAGGGCGAAGTGCTCCCCCAGATGAGCTCAGGACGGTTCCACACTTGAGTCGTGAACACCCCTGGGCCTGGGTGTCCTTTCCTCGGCTTCCTTCCTCCACTTCCCCTCCCCACGCCTGCATCCTGGGTGCGACTCTCCTCCAGGCGGGTCGGGGCCTCCGTGGGTTGGGTCTGCGGCAGCCGAATTCCCCACTGCCAGGCGCAATTTCAGATTCCTCAGTCGATCGGGGTGTTTGTTTGGGTTTCCCCACCCCCTGATCAGGGTCTACCTTCTCTTGCCAGGGGTGGGTTATCTCTGGATCTTAGCCAGCACCTAGCTAACTTCCTACAGGATTAAAAAAAAAAAAAGAAGAAGATTCTCCCAGGGAGGGAGGAGGTCTTTGGGGCGGGTGGTGACTGCGCTCCCCTGGTGTCTAAGGCTGGATCTGGGTGTGTCTGGGAGGTTGGGCTGTGACAGTGAAGGAAGCTCTGTCCTCTTGCCAGCTTGTGAGGCCCTGGTCTGCTGGAAGGGGAGGGGAGAGGGGAGGAGAGGGAGGAGGGAGAGGAGGGCCCTGGGCTGTTTGGAAAGAGAGGCGGGAGGGGGAGAGAAATTCTGAATATGTGACCGATAACGAATTGGTTCTGGGGCTAAATAAGGGAGCCAGGACTTATGTAATTCATGCTATAAATACTGTCATCCGAATTTCTATATGTAAATTTCCTCTTCCGTCTGCAAATACTTTTTGTGGTCGGCCTTTGGAACTCTGCACAACTAAAGCAGGAACTGTTCCGGTTTTAGAATTGGTAGACCTGGGGAAGAGGACTAGGTATCGGTCAGGGAATTTACTTGGGGAGCACATTCCGAGGGGCAGGGGCCGGCCTGAGATCCACTTCACCCCTGTGCAGAAACTTGGAATTTACAGACTGAAGAAAGGCAGTGCTGAATCCTGACTCACCTGCCAAGTCACTGGAGATCAAGAGACATTGTGTAGGCTTATGTTGGTGTCAGTGTGCATTTTCTGTGCCCAGCTGACCAGAAAGTTATGTTTGGGTCTTGTCTATGATCAGAGGTTACTCTCACTGTTGATCTTGACCATGTCCAGATGGGAATGTTTTGATAGGAATCAGACAGCCTGATAATGAATCCTGGTTGCTATGTGTCGGTCATACGACTTTGGACAAGTTCCCCCAGTATTCTCCTTTGTATGATAGAATATAGATGCTGTTTTCCTGATAGGGTTGTTGCTGGGATTCAGTGAGAATCCAGTGTCGGGTGGATGGTAAGGGCACAAGAAATGACACCTGATCCTCAGTGTCTATGGACCAGATGTGCCAGAAGGCAGCGGAGAGTTTGGTCTGTTGCATGCTTTTACTGTAGGGGCTTGCTAGCATTGTATGTCCAGAGATGGTTCTGCCAGGAGGTAGGGGTGGGAGGCTTGGCTTCCTCATCTGCTTGGAAGATCCACCTTGTTTGCTTTTGGACCATTTCTATGAGCAGTTCAGGCATTAACCATCAAGAGCTGAGCCACAGAAAAGAGACAGGCTCAGGACTGAGTGCTAGGGTTTGATTACAGTGTCAACCTAAGCTAGACAGATGGACATATTTCAGGTCCTCTACATCCTGGACAGTCAGCCTCCTGGGAAGACTTACCTTTGTGTGGATTATCTTGAATGGAGCTTGGCTTGCATTTGGGGAATCTGGATTCCCATTCTCTTCTGTTTCTAGCTTGTCATCCTGGGGAAATAATTTCTTCCTTTATCTTGCTGTAAAATGGGCCCAAGCATACTGATTCTCCGAAGAGTTTGTAACAAGTTAATTGCCATGTGTAGCTGGTAGTCATGCTCAGGTGTCTCGCCAGCCAGCCTCGGGTGGAGCTGTAAGCAGGTGTCTACTGCCCCTCAGGCCTGCACTGTGGTCAGACCAGCCCTGCAGGTGAGCTTGGGAACTGTCCCAATCTGGCGCTTAGAAGAGCTCAACGTTTGACTTTGAGATGGAGGTGTGTGCTGGGTTCCTGCCCTCTGAAAATGACCAGGAACTTGCCTGCTAAGCCTTTCTTTTTTTTTTTTTTTTTTGTCAGTCGTGGGGCTTGAACTCTGGGCCTGGGCGCTGTCCTTCAGCTCTTCAGCTCAAGGCGAGCGCTCTACCACTTGAGCTACAGCAC